AAAAAAAAAATATATATATATATTTAAAATGCATATAATTCAGGATAGTTTTAAGGGGTAAACAATGATTTTGATGGTCTAGATGGTAGGGGAGCACCTCATTCACCAAGGTGTATGTACAGTATGTAAAGCACTATGTGGTTGTTGGCAATACATAAATACCTATAATAATAATAAGGAATATTTGACTCATCAATCACCCATACTAAAGCAAAATGAAACTACTCACAGTTTGGCTTCCACTAAGCAGGAGATGTGAAGAAGGACTAGACCCGCACATAGCACCCAGGACACCATGTTGCAGGTCTGGGTAGACTGCTTGCACATTATGTGGCTGCCTCTTTAGTTTTTGTTGTTCCCACATCCCCCCTTCCTACGCTGCAGGACAAGGACTTCACAGCAAGGCCACTGACCTCAAGACAACAAATCTAATTGGTCAGCAGAGGAGTTGAAGGCTTTTTAGGATTTGCAAATATTTACTTTTGATACATCTACCCGCAGCTCTATAGAATTCCGTTCGTGTGACGATTATACATCAATATTATGTTAGTGTTAAGTGCACTGTTTTTGACCCATGGCACATCTGTTTTGATACAGTAATTTCCTGTGGCTGAGCACAGAAAACGTTATATATAAAACCAAACAGGTGTTATAATTGGAAGATTTCCCCTCTATTTCTGTTCTGGTAGCAACTCAAAATCTCTACATTTACACTGACCTTCATTCCCGATGATATTGGTGATAAGGACAATTGGGGCTAGTTTACACCAGAATCTGCAGTGCAATGGGTTTTGCTGCGATTTAACAGCAATTGACGTGGGTTTTGTAGCTTAAAATTAGCTTTCCAGTGTGTTTGTTTGCATGCGTTTTGATGCATTCAGTTGTGATCAGGTGCAGCTAAAATAAGACAAGCCCTATTTCTTCTGACTGCATTGGAACTGACTGCACTGGTATGAACAGAACACCAGAAATCCCATTGGAAAGCATTGTAGCGTGATTTTGATGCAGCTGCCAAATGGAACGGATTGCATCCCAACTGCATCTGGTGTGAACTAGCCCTTACAGAGAGTGAAGTTGCCTAAGGGCCCAGTCACACCATATCCAGTGTGTTCTGGTGTGGTTCTCAATTGGAATGCACTGAATTGCAGAGATCAAGCTGGGCTGTATGCACTGGAGCGGAGGGCATTCCTGTACTGGATATGGTGTGACTGGGCCCTAACTGGGCAGCTGTCTGTGTTGTTTCCCATAGGGTAGATTTTCCTTTACTTGCTGTCTTGAGAAGCAACACAAATGCAGAAAAATCTCTCCAAAGAAGGGGAAGTCCCACTTAGTTGTGATTGGAACCCGTTTTTTGTCTTACTAATGTAAGATTTCCCCTTTATTCCTGACCCAGTGACAAATAAATATTTTAGATTTTCCTCGCTTTCAGTGCCACTGACGAGGGTCACCAGAACAAGTAGAGAGGATTAATCTCTGTAGTGGCAACAGGTTAACAGGTTTTAACCCTTCCCTGATCTATCCAAAACTAAAAATGGCTTTAGATACACTTCCATTTTTCAGAGAGGTCATACAATGCTTGATTTTTTCAGGTGAAGAATCATTTACTGAACCAGATCCAACATCAAGCCTGATCATCCCCAAAACACAGATTTCCATTGAGGTTAGTGAAGCTAAAATCGAATTGTGAAATGTTTTTACTTGATTTTTTCCCAATCTGATGAGTACGTCACCTTAGAAGAATGGGTCGGTCCTGAAAGCTTGTCCTGAAAATTTTAAGTACTAACCACTAGGGATGAGCCGAACCCCCCCATGGAAAAAGTTCTAATTCGAACTTCGAACACAATGCAAGTCTATGGGGGCAGAACTCAGAAAATTAAATGTCCCCATTGTGAAGCCTTATATGCAATTAATTGGCCATAAAAAGTGTATGGGGATCCGGGTACTGCCCTGGGGGACATGTATCAATGAAAAAAATCCGAACGTTAGAACTTGCTATGTTCGAGTCGAACATAGGTTCGACTCGAACGTGCAGCCCATCTCTACTAACCACTTGCTGACCGGGTACCAAATGCTCCGATGCCTAGCCCGATACCAGAACTTCCGGTATCCGGAAGCTGGGCAGTGAGTCATTACACGCTGCCCGGCTTACTGATTGGCCGGAAAGGCGGCTCCATGCTCCGTCTTCAGTGACGAGGGAGCATGGTGCCGGCTCCCAGCCAATCAGGAAGCCGGTTCACCGCCTACATTCCTAATTGGTCGGGTAGCTGGTCAATCAGGAAGCCGGTTGGCGAGTCATTACCTGCCCACCACCTGGTGACGAGGGAGCATGGAGCTGGCTTTCCGGCCAATCAGGAAGCCGGTCACCATGTATTGACTCGCTGCTCAGCTTCCTGATTGGTCGAGAAGCAGGTTCCTCAATGTGCCCCCCCCCCCCCCCCCCCCCCCCCCCACCCCCGC